TAGGGAGGGTGAAGAGTATGGATTGGGTTGGGGGGGAGGGAGGGCGGGTGGTGTTACCAGCCTTTTCCGCATCTTATTCTCCGAAACACTCTCGTTTTTTTCAGCGGTATACTTTTCTGACTTATTTCTGCCTTTGACTTCATTTTCTTCTAGATATCTAAGTATACTATCTTGACAAAGGGTGTGCGGATAAATGATGTCGCTTTTCTCCGCGCGCAAACACAGCAGCATGTCCATGTGTAGACAATAGGCGATTGAAGACAAAGGACAGAATGGTAAACATCGATAAAGATAAAAGAAGATACAAATAGATGAACGAGTTTTCGAATGAATGAAAATAAAGGACTGAAAAGGTTTACAAACGTATAACTGAACATATGAAAACAGAGATATTGGAAGAAAATCAGAAGACAAATGTACAGAAAATGTGAAAAAAGTACTTCTTTGAAAAGGAGCGGCGGTTTTAAGTGGTTTTCTTTGCATCCTACTGGACACTGAATAGATACGCACTCAAAAGGTAGGGGTCTGAGAGGTATCTTCCTGGAAGTGTCATCCTAAACCTGCCTTTAAAGTGAAAGAAAGAAAAGGAGTGAGGTAAGAAATAATAATAAGAGTAAGAAAGCAATCTGGTGTGTGTAAGAAAGAAAAAGGAACACAGTCTTTAAAGGAGAACAAAACAAAACAAAGAGGGGGTAGAACGGTTGAGTAAAAATACCAATACATTGAAAGGATAAGAAAATGATAAAAGAAGCGAAACAAACCTACGAAACTATGGAAGTGGGGGCAGGAGACAGAGGAGTATGTGAGAAAGAATAAAGATGAAAAGAAAGTAAACAAAGAAAGACAGGAAACTTCCTCCTATTCTCCTTGCAGGTATCCGAGACCATACTGATACTGAATGAGCTAAACTTACGCTATACATACAGTAACTTCCCGTACTACTGTCTTGTCACTCGACATCAGATACTTTAAAAAATAAACATAAAGAAGATGCTAAACTTGTCATATGATCTTTTTCTTCCCTTTCAGGCATTGTTTGCTGGGGAGGATGTGCCGGGGAGAAAAAACCAGAAGTGTACTCTTCCGTCAACATGCTACTTCCTTGGATTAAATTGACGATTAGAGACATAGCCTAACTTTTTACCTCTGTATATAGTAGCTATGAATAAAACCGTCTTTTTCCAGAGCCTCAACCAAGGTCATTTATTTGTAACAGATATGTAGCCAACCATAGCAATTGAATACCAACTTCTGTTCTTGACGTGTGGACTTGAATTGATCGCCCTGAAGGTATTATACCTTCTACAACTCTGCTGTCAGATGGTAAAATAAATAAAGAAAAAGTAAAAAAAAACCACGATGCTTTTCTATTCTTTTCATATTTTTACTCATGTCTTTTTCACTAACTTGTGTGTTACTCTTACATTATTTCCTTTAAATAATTACACACACACACACTCA